TCAAAACTTAAGTCCCCGTTTTCGGACTGCGTCCGACGGGGTACTAATAAAGTACATGCCATTTTCAGTGCAGATTATATCTCCAATCACCACAATCCCATCACCAGAAAGTTAAAATTCATCAATTACCAGTATATAACAAGTACTTATTTCCATGGAGGCTGAGATATAAAAAAATATCAATATTCATAATAAATCTTAAGAAAATGATACATTACACAGGGTACATAGAAATACTAAAATTGTTTTTCATTATTCGTTGTCTACCACTGTCTGCCTGCCATTTTCTCTGCAGTTTATGTACAAATTAATGCCATTTAATTTTTTTAATTTGGTATGCAAAATATAGGTCTGTATTCTCCACTATGGGGTACGAATCAATTCTCATTCTAGGTCGGTATCCTTGTCTTTTTCACTAAACTGACGTTTAGACTCACGAAACTTTCTCAGAAGATCATGTTTTATTTCGTTTTGAAAAGTTGTTGATAGTTTGTTGTTTATTAGCTCCACATCCACGAAAGACAATTCTGCATATTAGGGTTCCATAACTCTAATGTAAGTTATCATTATTATGAGATTTATACGCAATATACATCGTGTAATGGTACAATATTCGTATGTATAGGATGTGTTTGGTTACAATATATCATTATATGTGGGCGAGAAGGGACGGTATGTACAAGCCTATGTTTTTGCTATGGCGGTCAACTAACACTAACAATCTATGATTAAATAACACTACAAGCACGTGAAATAGCGAATAAACATACACCTGGTCAAGGTGTCGGGGGATTAGGTAAAGCCTTGTTTCTGATAATACTGTGATTACGTAATTGCAACCATCAAGTCTATTCCCGACATTATATACCGACTATTCTGCGCATCGTTGCATTGTATGTAGCGGTATGTCCGTGCAAAATTATCTTTATTTTCTATTTTTCATGAAAATGCAAAATAAGTGTTAAATATTTTATTGTTAATAGCGAAACATTGGTATAAGAAGTTATTTGTGAAAACACTTGTATGATAATTTAACTCACGCATAATGTAATCATCTCTATCTCCAAATCATTAAAAAATAGGAATAACTTTTAAAAACTTGTATACTTAACTTTACTAATTCTAATACATGCTACTATATCAAGAAATAAAGATAGTGGGTAGTTAACCTGGAATTATGCGTTCCCGGCCCACAATACTACCCGTATTTTGGAACAAGAAGTTCCTGCGCCCCTTTCTAAATACATTGTACAAGTTACCGCTACCGCGATGCTCGCGTTCGTTGGTGGCGTTGTTTCTAACATGTTTCACAATAACGGGGATCATGCCTTACCTGAAATATTCTGTGCAATAACACGTAACGTGAGATGTGAGCAAACGTATCAATAACGCGTAACGTGGGAATGTGAGCAAACGTATCAATAGCGCGTAACGCGGGAAAGTGAGCAAACGTATCAATAACGCATAACGTTGGAATGTGAGCAAACGTATAAATAACGCGTAACGTGGGAATGTGAGCAAACATATCAATAACGCGTAACGTGGGAAAGTGAGCAGACGTATCAATAACGCGTAACGTGGGAAAGTGAGCAAACGTATCAATAACGCGTAACATGGAAATGTGAGGAAACATATCAATAACGCGTAACGTGGGAATGTGAGCAAACGTATCAATAACGCGTAACATGGGCAAGTGAGCAAACGTATCAATAACGCATAACGTGGGAATGTGAGCAAACGTATAAATAACGCGTAACGTGGGCAAGTGAGCAAACGTATCAATAATGCATAACGTGGGAAAGTGAGCAAACGTATCAAGAACGCGTAATGTTGGAATGTGAGCAAACGTATCAATAACGAATAACGTGGGAAAGTGAGCAAACGTATCAAGAACGTGTAATGTGGGAATGTGAGCAAACGTATCAATAACGCATAACGTGGGCAAGTGAGCAAACGTATCAATAACGCATAACGTGGGCAAGTGAGCAAACGTATCAAGAACGCGTAATGTGGGAATGTGAGCAAACGTATCAATAACGCATAACGTGGGAATGTGAGCAAACGTATCAATAACGCATAACGTGGGAAAGTGAGCAAACGTATCAAGAACGCGTAATGTGGGAATGTGAGCAAATGTATCAATAACGCGTAACATGGAAATGTGAGCAAACGTATCAATAACGCATAACGTGAGAAAGTGAGCAAACGTATGAATAACGCGTAACGTGGGAAAGTGAGCAAACATATCAATAACGCGTAACATGGAAATGTGAGGAAACGTATCAATAACGCGTATTGTGGGAATGTGAGCAAACGTATCAATAACGCGTAATGTGGGAATGTGAGCAAACGTATCAATAACGTGTAACGTGGGAATGTGAGCAAACGTATCAATAACGCATAACGTGGGAATGTGAGCAAACGTATCAATAACGCGTAATGTGGGAATGTGAGCAAATGTATCAATAACGCATAACGTGGGAATGTGAGCAAACGTATCAATAACGCGTAACGTGGGAATGTGAGCAAATGTATCAATAACGCATAATGTGGGAAAGTGAGCAAACATATCAATAACTCATAACGTGGGAATGTGAGCAAATGTATCAATAACGCGTAACGTGGGAAAGTGAGCAGACGTATCAATAACGTGTAATGTGGGAAAGTGAGCAAACGTATCAATAACGCATAACATGGGGATGTGAGCAAACATATCAATAATGCGTAATGTGGGAATGTGAGCAAACGTATCAATAATGCGTAACATGGGAAAGTGAGCAAACGTATCAATAACGCGTAACGTGGGAAAGTGAGCAAACGTATCAATAACGCGTAACATGGGAATGTGAGCAAACGTATCAATAACGCGTAACGTGGGAATGTGAGCAAATGTATCAATAACGCATAACGTGGGAAAGTGAGCAAACGTATCAATAACGCGTAACGTGGGAATGTGAGCAAACGTATCAATAACGCGTAACGTGGGAATGTGAGGAAATGTATCAATAACGCATAACGTGGGAAAGTAAGCAAACGTATCAATAACGCGTAACGTGGGAATGTGAGCAAACGTATCAATAACGCGTAACGTGGGAAAGTGAGCAGACGTATCAATAACGCGTAACGTGGGAAAGTGAGCAAACGTATCAATAACGCGTAACATGGGGAAAGTGAGCAAATGTATCAATAACGCATAACGTGGGAAAGTGAGCAAACGTATCAATAACGCGTAACGTGGGAATGTGAGCAAACGTATCAATAACGTGTAACATGGGAAAGTGAGCAAACGTATCAATAACGCGTAACGTGGGAAAGTGAGCAAACGTATCAATAACGCGTAACGTGGGAATGTCAGCAAACGTATCAATAACGCGTAACGTGGGAATGTGAGCAAATGTATCAATAACACATAACGTGGGAAAGTGAGCAAACGTATCAATAACGCGTAACATGGGAATGTGAGCAAACATATCAATAACTCATAACGTGGGAATGTGAGCAAACGTATCAATAACGCGTAACGTGGGAAAGTGAGCAGACGTATCAATAACGTGTAACGTGGGAAAGTGAGCAAACGTATCAATAACGCATAACGTTGGAATGTATGCAAACGTATCAATAACGCGTAACGTGGGAAAGTGAGCAAACGTATCAATAACGCATAACGTGGGAATGTGAGCAAACTTATCAATAATGCGTAACGTGGGAATGTGAGCAAACGTATCAATAACACGTAACGTGGGAATGTGAGCAAACGTATCAATAACGTGTAATGTGGGAAAGTGAGCAAACGTATCAATAACGCGTAACGTGGGAATGTGAGCAAACGTATCAATAACGCGTAACGTGGGAATGTGAGCAAATGTATCAATAACGCGTAACGTGGGAATGTGAGCAAACGTATCAATAACGCATAACGTGGGAAAGTAAGCAGACGTAACGTGGGGGAAGTGAGCAAACGTATCACTAACGCGTAACGTGGAAATGTGAGCAAACGTATCAATAACGCGTAACGTGGGAAAGTGAGCAAACGTATCAATAACGCGTAACGTGGGGAAGTGAGCAAACGTATCAAGAACGCGTAACGTGGGAATGTGAGCAAACGTATCAATAACGCGTAACGTGGGAAAGTGAGCAAACGTATCAATAACGCATAACGTGGGAAAGTGAGCAAACGTATCAATAACGCATAACGTTGGAATGTATGCAAACGTATCAATAACGCGTAACGTCGGAAAGTGAGCAAACGTATCAATAACGCGTAACGTGGGAATGTGAGCAAACGGAAAAAGGAGAAAATATCCTTTGGGTCAGTATGCCTCAATGTATAAATGGGCATAATCTTAATTCAGTTAAAATGCCGACGATCTTTTTGTGTTGATACCGTTTCTTTTAAATTAGCTACATCTAAATTAGCAAAATTGTATGGTTGCTGAAATACATGTTTTACAATACCACTGTATATCTTTAAGCCGGCGTAAATTTATTTGGAAGGGAATATCATCACTTACAGAAACACATGTTACACGGTGTAGAAGGTGTAAAGCAAGATTTGTATTGATTACGAAAAAAACAAAATCTAAAATGCATAGTTGAAGATACCGTAACGATTATACATAGCACAAAATAATGTGATACATACATTATATAAAGGAGGGTGATTTCCGCGTAGCGTTTTCTCTGAGGGGTAGGTTTTTTTTATCCCGCACAATATTTAACAGATTTGCAATATTGTAAACATTCAATGCAATGTTCAGAGACGTTCATTCAGTCGCTAAATTGACTTTCAGAGATCCAAACAAGTGGAATGTTCTTTATTTCACTGTCATCTCATGTACTTCCTATGTGTTTTACAAAAAAATCAAGGTCCGTAACATCTACATTCACGTGCAATTCAAGATGAACTCGTGATGTAACTTCAGAATATAACATCAGGTCATTTGAAAACGTCTCCTACGAAAACATTGTACGATGCGTAGTTAAAAATAGTTTTCGACGAAATGTCGCAGACCCAGTCAGAAATTAACCACAGTGTTTTTTTTGATTGCGTACTTATTATTGGCAAATATTTAAATACGCACTGAACATTGGTGGCGTGGAAACACACGCTGTTGCATGTTATTTGGGGTGGGTATAATGGTGTCAGTCATAAAACGTTCCGAGAGAAAACGACCCGTACAAAAAATGTTTTCCAGACAAGTGACAAGTAGAACAAATTCCCCCTCATAAAGATGGGTCATACTCTGCCGGTACTGACCATTATTGCCGTGAATATATTATTCTTTCGTGCACATTGGACGCATGGGGTCATTTCGAGCCATATATTTAAACACATGCGACGTATGAATTAAAACGACATTGTAAAAGACGTCAATTTAAGCCCGATAACGCTTTTTCCAAAGGTTTGTCCGGGACGTTTCAACCAACACTCGGGTGTAATGCTTTCAGAAAAGTGTGAATTTTGCGTGTTTTCACTAGTTACGAGTTTTCACGTATTTTGTCTGCATTAGCACTTTATACACTTAGTCACCACAAGCATCCGCACGTGTGTTTAAAAAATGAACATTGAGGAATATCCGAAATAATACTCTTCTTAAAAATAGAGTATTACGTCTGTTTAATATTTAATTTGCTTTAATGGATTTGTGATAAATTGTTTATGTTTTAATAATGACAGATACCAATATAGCCTGGGGCGATCAGAGTGCAATGGCGATGATCGCCAGTATAGAGCCTGCAGCTGGCAGGTACGTATATATCATTATTAATGTCTACAGTGACAACTATATGAGATTTCCATTAACCCGTTGAATCACCTCACTTAAACTGAATACAAAAACAGAAATATTCCAAACGTTTCGCGTACCTTTTACTTCAACTTGATGAAATTCCAGATATTATCCACGAACTTAAAATCCGTTTGTGTAGTAAGATACAATCAAATGACTTCGAGTTCTTAAAAGGGTTTGGGATTTTTTTCGTTTTGAAATATGACAGTAGATATCTTGGATATGTTCTTTATTGTAGGATTGCCCCATAGGTTCGGCGGATTACAGAGAAATGCAATGCGCCCTCTATAACAACAGAGAAGTGCTTGGGCAGATGGTTGACGACTGGGTTCCTTATCTGGATAGTAAGTACAATTTTTACAGAGCAGCCGTGCACATATTTTCGTCAATGAAAAACATTGGAAATCTTATCTTATTACTTATTTTTTTCTGCAGAAAACGTTCCCTGTCAGTTGCAGTGTTATGCAAGAGACAAATGGTTTTATTACAATTTCGGCAAAGTCCTGGACGGCACTCGCTGCAACCCTGACAATATTGACATGTGTGTGAACGGTGAATGCGTCGTAAGTTGGAAATCTATTTCTGAAAATCTCAACCCAAGAACGGAATTAGGTCTAAAAGTCGTCGAAACAACCACATCCCTATTTTGGAAATAAACAACCCGACTCTTTAAACATTTTGTAGACGGAAGTGAAACGACAGCCAATAAAGCGAACTTTTTATAAACAAAATCGTATTTAATGTTCCTTTGATGAGCTCCGCGTCGTAATCGATACGGGTCTCATTCGACGCATACAATGATGCGTTTATGACGTCATTTATGTAAGTCTAGTAACCCATAACGAGTAATTTTTTACATTGCAGCACGTTGGTTGTGACGGGATTTTAAAATCAGACAAAATTGAAGACAGTTGCCGCGTGTGTGGCGGGGATAATACAAGCTGTGGTCACTATAAGAATGTGTTTAAGAATAATATGCCATCATCAGGTACAAATCTCCTACAATAGTTGTTATGACTGGATACAACGTACATAACATGCTGATAACTAGATATGTTTTGTCACATTTGTTAAGTCATGTAATAATAGACAGGATATCATTTTAGTGATTTGTCATGTACACATATATATGGTAATAGTGTAGTGTTTACATTCAGTCAAAAACAAATGAATTCTGGCAGGGTGTGACGTCACCTGGTAGCGTACTGATCTTCATATTGACCTCTATGTCTCTGCTGTCCAATCACATCTCCAGTATCTTTAACAGACCGTCTTCATATTGACCTCTATGTCTCTGCTGTCCAATCACATCTCCAGTATCTTTAACAGACCGTCTTCATATTGACCTCTATGTCTCTGCTGTCCAATCACATCTCCAGTATCTTTAACAGTTATGACTATGCCGGGCAAAGATGCCACGTGAATGTACGTGAATGTCCCTACTGTGTACAACCCCCAGACGCCATTAATCACGCGGATACAGTCACATTTTATCCCATGTTTGTTATATTAAAAATGGAAAATAATGAAAATGATTCCCTTTTAATTGCTAATATAACTTGTATTGCAGAATGGTTTGGTTATAATGAAGTCGCTGTTATCCCAAAGGGTTCTACTCGCATAGAAGTTATCGACAGAAGCCGTAACTATTTAGGTACATATCGCTTGTCTTGAAACATTGTGACAACACATGGAACTAACATGGTATACAAAACTAACTGTGAACACACGTTTTACTTCACAGCTTTGATGGAGGGGAGTCAGTACATTATCAATGGAAACTGGATGATAAATTGGCCTGGGAAATACTTAGCTGCTGGTACATCTATCCAGTACCAACGTACGCTGGATGGTTTTGAGAAGATTGCAGCATCTGGTCCTACAGACGGTGACCTACATGTCATGGTATGTACACGGGATTAACACAGTATAGAGGGGGAGGGGGTACATATCACATTTCACAGGCATTAAAATTGGCAAATCACAATTCAGAGGAAATACATTTGCCATTTCACAGATCACGAACAAAATGTATCTGAATTGTAGCTTATGATGATTAACGGTACAATTGACAAGATGAGGACACTTAATAACAATATAGACATCAACATATTTATTCATACCTTGTCCGTAATTGACAATCTGGGCAATTTACCAGTCTACATATAACCGAACTTTTATCATACGCCCACTTCGTGTGGTTACTGCTTTCATAAATATTAAGTGCATCATTGTTAAAGTCTGAGACTGAAGATGTCACTGAAGGCATGGGTGTCAACTTAGAGTCTGTGTCCGCGTCATATTCTGATTCTTGTTCAGAATCACTCCCCATACACTGCTTGTCAATGTACCAGCTTTGAATTTTGTAGTTTCCTGCCTCACTTTTTCTGATTCACACATTTTCCATGTTCTATAGTCCATTCTTGCATCTGTACCTGTAGCTCGTTTCATTGATTTTGATTGATGTAGTTTTGGGAAATTATACAAAGGTATAACTTGAGTACTGATTGGGTAATATAAGGTTTCTTTTATGAAATAGTATGCTGTCCAGAGAACAAATCTCCTTAAACTTTCATAAACTGCATTGGACAGATTTCTGACATAATGTAAAACTGTTGGAAACTGGTCTTTGAAGTGGCCAACAGCATGAAGGTTCACAGCTTGTACAGTCTGTAACAGATCTACCGGGTATTCTGTATTCCACATTAATTGTCTGTATTTAATCCTGTAATTCTTTCAACTGCTCAAGTATCATTGAGACAGATAACCTAGTTTTGTGAGAAACAGTTCCTTCTGGCCCATTTGTATTTCCCCGGAACCCTGTTGATTGCCTGACTGCATCTTCTGCCCTCAATAGATAGGTATTAAGAGTGGATACATTGTTGTATAGACAATTTGGGAACAGGCTGATTTGTCAAGTGAACAGAAAATGCCGTGTACAACAGACCAAGATTTCCAAGAAATTTAACCATTTGTTTTACTAGCGTAATTAGTTTTATAGTACCAACTTGAGCATCAGTAACATATATACAACCAAACTCAACACAGATAGCTGCCCAAATTGGAAAAGTTCAATTCACGAACCAGGCATATTTATTTTAACAAATCACGGCTCGCGGAGAATACTTTTGTCACGAATCACGTAATCTGTTTTTTTCCAAATCACAATTCACAGAAAATTAAAAGTGTACGATCACAGATCACAGATCACGAAAAAAGCCCCCCCCCTCAGTATATGATTTAATCAATTACACCGGACAAAAATTCGATGTCGATTACATTTATTGAATTTACGAACGTTACGAACCTGACGAACATCGTGTGCAATTCGACGTTTTAAGCACAAAGGCGAAATGGCCGCCAGGCAATCTCTTAGGCAAACATTGGTACTACCTGTGCACTACCGTATTCATCTAGAAAATTAACCTATATATACGCTTTCAGATGATATATAGGTTGTCTATTTTTAGCTCCTGATTCCTCACACTCAACCGTGACTGCTTTCCAGAACCAACAATACATTATGCAATTATAAAATTGGTATTATTTCATTAATGCTGCACATTTATTAGTAAGGAGACGTCTAACTTATTAACTGAATCTTCTGTATAAAATGGTTTGTTCTAGGTGTTATTCCGGGAACATAATCCTGGCATTGAATACGAGTACTGGTTGCCGATACATGTAAGTAACGCAAAGGCTGTCAAAACTACGTCGTATAATGTCACAGTGACTCAACCATCGATAGAGGGCGGTAAACCATTTCAGCTGCCACAGAGCGATCGCGGAGGGCAATCTCTTGGTGATTTACAGAATCGTGGCAATGAAAAGAAGTCTTCCACAGATGATGCAAAACAAGGTACGATCGTCACGCCTTCTTATTGACATGTGAATTTTGAACGCATGAACATTTTTTAGTTTTGAATTTACTTGATGTATATTAAACATTATGTAACTTTATGCTAATTTCTTGTTCAAGGAAGTAGCACAGATGTGAAACCGCCAGGAAAACATAAATCTTCGGAAAAAAGTAAGGATTAGCAAGTCTTTAAACTGACAGTCCCTGTTGGTATTTTTTCAAAGTGATCTTACGATCGCCAGAAATCCCAAAATGGTGGATTATTAGTGTAAGAAAATATTTTCATGCAATTATACATGAAAGTAACAATCAGTCTATTTAAATTTGTCAACAGATGTTGGTGTGCTTAAAATTGTTAAGATTTATTATTATGAAGTAGAAAGAGTTGAAAACCCGAAAAAAAATGACCACCAACTATTTATTTTCAATCAAATCGTGAAATCAATTTATTTATATTTAATGCAAGTTCTTGGAGCTTAAGACTATAGAAAGGAGTGAGAGAGATATGGTGACTATTTGCATAACCCTAAGCCATGTTACAAATATGGTGACTATTTGCATAACCCTAAGCCATGTTACAAATATGGTGACTATTTGCATAACCCTAAGCCATGTTACAAATATGGTGACTATTTGCATAACCCTAAGCCATGTTACAAATATGGTGACTATTTGCATAACCCTAAGCCATGTTACAAATATGGTGACTATTTGCATAACCCTAAGCCATGTTACAAATATGGTGACTATTTGCATAACCCTAAGCCATGTTACAAATATGGTGACTATTTGCATAACCCTAAGCCATGTTACAAATATGGTGACTATTTGCATAACCCTAAGCCATGTTACAAATATGGTGACTATTTGCATAACCCTAAGCCATGTTACAAATATGGTGACTATTTGCATAACCCTAAGCCATGTTACAAATTACAATTTGTATGAGGTTATTTATACTACCTGCAATTCAATTTAATTGAAATACAACCCTATAATTTATTTGAGTTTAATTGAATTTCAAATACAGTAGATTCTTATACAGGATTACAATTTTATTAAATTTCATTCCAAGATAGGATTGCAATTTAATTTCAAATCAAAAAAAAGGTTAAATTGTAAATCCTAAATAGCGGGACTGTTAGTGAATCGGTTGAAGCATACCTATGAAATGATTGATGAAATGAATCAAATGTTTCATGTCCAATGGAGACTTGATCACATTTGATTTTAATCTAATGAACTATATATATATACCTGTCATCTTTTCTACCTTCCCTTTCCTGTCCGGTTCTCTTTTGTCTTATAACACTCATAATATAATATTACTTGTATTTTATTTCTACAGAACGAAAGTGTCCAAGATGCCGGAAAGTGCGTGGAAGCATAAAAACATTTTTTTGCAAGAGTGATTTTGGTTAGTTAATAAATCTGGTAATAAAGAGTTATATACAAGATATCCTGTGTGTATTAAGAGATTTGGATTATACATGGGATGGAATTGTCAAAGACAATTTAATTAGTTTTTGTGACTACCGTGTATATAGTACACAATGGAAGTATGTGTGTATGTGTGTGTTTATGTACGTTTCACTGTTATCTTATGAAATTATCTTATGTCCCATTTCAATGAAAATTGGAATATGATGCTCTGGCACAAGCATAGATGTTATTAATTCTGGATAAAAATCTGAGCATATTAATCAATTAATTTGCATAAATAATTAGTCAATTTTCAGGTTTCCCAGTGATGTCTAAAAAAAATACCTAACAATTATCAATGGAACTTGGTACATAGATGCTCTGGAGTAATTCGCAAGACTGATTAGTCTTTTGTCGCATGCTGCTATATTAAATATCCACCACAGTTTAGGTAGATATCTCAAAAACCACTCAATGATACGTGTGACATAGTCTGGGGTTAATCCACAAATTTGATTAATTTAATGTTGAAATCTATGCATATTATTTCTTAATTTGTGTGCTTTGGATGTAATTCTTTGCTTTAAGAGTTTTCTTTTAGTATTACAGATTTTAGTATTGTGGATTATCTTGCTTTCACATAAGGAATCTCAAAATTAGAGCTATATTAGTTACGAAACTTTTTTAATTATCTTTAATGGAACTTCATATGCCTCTAATATGTTCAGAAGAGTTCTTTGAAAATATCGGATTACACATTAAGTCAAGGTGATGTTTGTGCTGGGCATATAACAAAGGGTAAAATATTTTTCATTTCTTTGCAGCATCGCATATTCAAGTACTGTCTAAGAAGTTGATGAATGACCAAACTCGCTACGATGTATCAGTCATCCAGACATACCAGAACCAGTTTATTCTGACTCATCGTGAATATTTGTGGGTGCCAAATACGTGTGATTGCCCTCGCCTTCGCACCGGCAAAGAGTATCTCGTAACGGGGAATTTGAAGACCAATTTCAAGGATGGCGAAAGTCGGTTTGTAATAACAGATAAAAATTTTGTACGCAAATGGAAGACTAATGCGCACGCTAAATGGGACACATTGCAGCAAAAAAATCCATGTCTCCCGTAATTGTTGTAAGTTGACGCAGTCAGATCTGAACTCTAATTTTGGATTGCTGAGTAAGTATTTTATTAAAGAAAATCACTTGAAACTGACTAACCATATCAGGTTTTTTGAAATGTTTTCAAAATATTAGAATTCATATCAAAAATAATTATTACTCTTTCATCCAATGTCACTGAGCAAATTCTTGAGATATTATAGAAATCTATGTAAAAAAATACAATTTCAACTATTTGCCAGGACATTGTGCAGAGCACAATGGGTGGCTAATGTCATGTTGATGTCATGTCTGTATGTGTGGATGTGTCAGTTTCAGTTCACCATTATCTCAACCATTGGGGAGGAGTTCAATTGGGATAAATTTAGGTACACGGATACTTTTTGATTAGCTCCACACATGATTATATTTTGTTAAAAAATCTATGCATATTAATTAGGTAATTTGAAATATTCTACATTTATTAATTAGTTAACATATATATACTGGTATTCTGATGGCATAAACTCATAATGAAAGTTTGACAAACATGACTTTGAGTCACAAATGTTCATAATGAGTATTTATTTGTTTCACACTGACTTGCATGCTAGTGATATCTTACGAATATTTAAAGGATATTATTATATTTAGTGTAGTTGGGTGTTCATTTGATTATACATGTTATGGTTTATGTTTTATAAAACTGTTATGAAATATGCCTAAAACAAAAACTGGCATTAAACGATCTATCAGTTGAGAGTCAAATGTCCAAGAATGATACGTTTAGAATTTGTTCAATTTGTGATTAATTTTGTTTATTCAGTGTAACATGTGTTTGTAGGAAATATGGAGACCCAAATCTTGCTCGTTACAATTTATTACTTCTCATTAAATGGAGCTGCAAATACACCCAGGTTAAACAACTTCAGTTTACAATTCAGAAATAAGTAAAAATATGTTATTACATTGAGGAATTATTACATAAACTCATGGATATGTTGAAATGTACATAGAAATTAATGTTATAATAAAGATAATTTGTTCTCAAGTTATACTGTATGTCGATTTCAGTTGATATTTTGTGAATTTCGTGAAAGCATGAATGTTTTTTGTGGGGATTTTACAAATATTTATAAACAATTTTGTTGTTTGCAACCATAATTAAAAATTTATAAACATAAATATTTTTATATTTAATTTATAAGTAGTTTAAATAAAAAATTATATTCATGCCTTTCTAAAATTCATTGTAAAAATATTCATGTATATGATAATCTGTTCAGTTAATGAATATAGTGTAACTATTACAACGTTGCCTGATGAGATTCTTGCAGGATAAATGTAAGTATAACAGTTCTGAAACAATACAATTATATATCTACAATATAACACAATTTTGCATGGAAA